GTAGGTGAGAGCCAAAATGAAAGTATGTCAAGAGTCTTAAAAATACTCTTGAAATTCATGATTTCTGTTTCATGGTTCTCTTCAAATAATTAACTTTCAAAATTGAGCAGTAAAAACTAGAGAGCTATAATTAACCCATGGAAATCCAGTGCATTGCTGGTCAAAATTATTTGAACAGTTATACTTATAGACTACCTGAATATAACTTAACCATGCTGAGCATTTCTTTCTTAATTTGATTAACTTTCATTCTCTTGCCATCAAAATATTCACAGATAAGTAAGCTTTAAAAATAAGGGAACAAAATAGCTTGACATTTCTTGGTTAACTTTGAAGCCGTGGATATGCCATGGGCTTCATCATGGCATTTGCAGAATGGACAAACGGAAGTGCTTTGGAAAAGCTAGAGTAATGTTTCATTTTCTATTCCTAAGATAGGTAAGGATAATCCCAAAAGCCTGACTACTGTTTTCTTTTCTTTTCTTATGATAGGTAAGGTTAATCCCAACGGGCCAGGATTCATTGGTTAACAGCTACGCGGGGGAAGGTAGAGCTAATAAATAGTGGGCAGGATCGGCTTTCGCAGGAGACTGTTTACGCTCCAAACATCACTCCTTGGAAAGACTGGACTTGAATATCAAAATAGGTGGTATTACGGGATGGAGTGTGAATACAGTGCGCTGGTTGTATCCATGTCTTGTCGGCATTTGTATGCATTGTGTAGCAGACCATGTCAAGTCTGTCCTCGCGTCATTTCAGAATCAACTCTCAACAGAGAGGAAAGAGTCGGATAAGAGAAGGGAGGGGTAAGGAGAAGGAGAGGAGAGTTCAATATTGCATTGTTATCTTATATTTTCTTGTATTTGACATCAGTGACCTTGCACATACTTATCTAGAAACCTGCTGTCGTTTTGGCAGCTCCACTCTTTAAATAAAATTGAAAAACAATGATGTGTGCTAGCCCGACGTTAAAGGCATTGTTCAATAATGTTTCCAGTTCTACAAATATGAGATGCATGGCCCTACATGTTATCAGAGTAATTTGGTGTAATTCAAGCCCCCCACCCCCAAAAAAATAAATAATTGTGCATCGAAATGATCATGAAGTGTTTCAAAAAAGTAAAAACAATACTCAAATACTCATTTCCCCCAATAGACCGTTGGGAAAAAACGCAAAATGAAATTTTGAATTCCAATCATAATTATCTTGATAATCAGACAGGCGATCTGCTTGTAAATATGATTGCAACATGAGCTAAATTCAGGACTTTGTTTAGAATCTGAGGCAAAGATACCCAATCCCTTTAAACAATACTGAAAAACAATGATGTGTCCCCTTAACCTCACATTAAGGGGTGGGATGCATCAATTGGGGACAAACTTGGCAAATCCTCAAAACAAAAACAAAGCATATGTTTTTGGAGAGAGGAAACATCAAGGGGTATTATGGATCAATAGGCCAATTTACACAGCCCAACAAATATTGTGAAAAACCATCTGTCTTATTATTGACTGCCATTTACAATACTGGAGAACACCCCTAAGAAACCGTTAGTGTTTGATAATTTTGGGGGTTTTTCCCCCGAGTTGAGTCCACTTGTCAGAGTCCTGCATGCATGAGGATGGAAGTGAGAAGAGTAACATGACCCAAACCCGTAATCATTCATTGATGATTTGAGAGCGGGCATTTACACTGCAAAAACCTATTAAATTTCTGCTGGAGTTTAAAACAAAACACTCCAGAAGGGGTCATCGTGATTGAAGGCTGAATACTGAAATGTAAGAAAAAGCAAGAATTTCTGCTTGCAGTGTAAACACAGCTAATGCCATTGCACAGGGAAGTAATCCTCCTTGTTATGTTATGAGGAAAATGCGTTTTTCAGGGAGTCCTAGAAAACATATGTTTGTTTACCACAGGAAAACATTGTTTTTAAACTGCAGGAAGTGTTACTTTATCTGAATTACTCATGTGCAGTACTAGTGTTACATAAGTGTATGTACTTAGTAAATATATGATTTGTTTTGTTTACCAAAGATCAATAATGTTTTTAAACTGCAGTAAATGCTTCTCTGTCAGATTGCTCATGTGCAGTGACAGTTTTATATACTTTGTGTAAATACGCAGGATAATGTTTTGTTTATCAAAGGAAAACAGTGTTTCCGTACTACAGTAAACAAATTAAACTACTAAAGGAGGTGATGAATAAGGACTAATAGATTTGAATGTAACATTGGGCCGACACTCTGCTTGCAACATGCAATAGTGCATTGGCATAGTGGGTGTTGGACGGATGATAAACTATTTGGTGGGCGGTACAGCTACAGTAGAAACAACATCCTAAACTGATGAGCTGAAAGTACAGAGTAACAGCTCCATGGGTGGTGTGTTCACACTTGTAGAGTGCCTGGAGTCAAGATTAACTTTAATCCAGATTAAGCATATCTGTATGTGGGTATTGTTCAGCCTTGAGGCTTTCATTCCATCATAAAGACCCAATTGATACAAGAGTCAGAATACTTCTGGTATTAAACAATTTTTCAATGACAATCATCGGTGTTTAAAATGAAAGATGACAAATGGAGGCAATAAAGAGCGATCCATCTCTAGACAAAGCCCTTTCCTTTCATTCCTCTTTTTTCTGACGGAGAGAGAGAGAGCCTTGGTAATTGATTCCTGTCAAAGCCACGGTATATCTTAGCCTAAATAATGAATAGTAAGTCTTTTTCCGCAATGAATATTTGATGAAGCTGTGGTAGATGAGCAATTGGAGGAAGATGATGAAGGGCCATTCCGATCCTACCGCAGTCATCTCACGGGAGTAGTATTGAATAATAATTTACATGAGAATATTCAATATAAGACCAAATTACACTTAACGATTTGCTGGATGTACTTGACTGACTGACCATGTTTTTTATAGTGTCAATAATGAGGCTGCAAAGCTATAAGCTGAAATTTGATATTTATCTGATACCACTCCAAATGATGGATGGAAATTGAAAAATTACCAAAACTTTTTTGGATGCATGAGAAAGTCATTGACTATTGGCATGAAATTTGTATTAAGGATTTAGGGAAAACACGTATTTTACTATTTTTGTACAAGTTCTCTTTCTTTCTGACAAAAAAGTAGTTTTCCTCATACAAAAATCCTTTATGTCCTTTGGCCTATAGATGATGATCAATGGCGTCCAATCATTCTTTTACTGACTACATTTTCATGTAATTACATTGACGAGCCGTCACAGCGCATTATTGATGGAAATATGAGGAATATGTCCATATTACCAAGTCAAATCACCACCACAATCTTTTGAAAGTGGGGGGAAAGACAGATTTCTTGAGCTATTTTCTCTCATTTCCACACACTCCAAATGCACTTATTTGCCCAAATGCATTCCACAATCCAATTTCCAAATCCCAACGCTCTCAACCCGCAATATCTTTAAAAGCAATCAATGCGTACATCAATTTGACTTTGAGGCCAACTCAAATACGACGAGTGAGGTCGGCGCTCTGTGGCGAGTCTGGTTGGGGGGGGGGGGGTGTGCAAACTGCTTTTCTCGTCACGATTTACAAGTCAGCATTCATGCCAAGACGTTAACACTTTTTAAAAATTTGCCACAGGCCTGTTTGACAATAAGTGGTGCCAAGGCTGGCTTGAGAGTGCCTCGCTACACGCTGATTTTCTCATCATAATCGCACTTACAGACACAATGCATACTCCCCTGCCAAGGCTGTGGATTTGGATCGAGCTTGAATCAAGTTGAACTTGATAATTATTAAACCAGGTCGCTCGGTGAAGATTCTTTGTGAAGTGATTCTCTCCATGGAGGCCTCTGTATAATTTATTAATAGCTAGAGTCTGTAGAGAAAGAATCAGGGCCGCAGCATGGCTTTGCACGAACCGGAATCAGAGAGTGATTTAGATAAGTCTTTCTGTCATACAAACCCGATTGCTAAATTGAATATCAAACCATCCGAGTATTCTGTGTGAACTACAAATGGTATCTTATTAAATTGCACCTGATCGGCAGCCAACATGCACAATTCATGGCGCATGCATGCATAAATGTACAACCTGACCAAGATTTCTGGCTGCACTGCTGTCCATTCCAGCAGCTTAATTTCCATGAAAAACCAATCAAATGTCCACCCTTCTCTCAAGATTTGACAAGCATTTACAGAAATGGGTCTCGCCCCAATTTTTTCCACAAGTCAAATCTCTTTTAACAAATGTATTCGCTTGGCGGCAGAGTAGTCACAGCGTTCACGCTTAAGTTCTCCTCCCTGCCGCGCTTCAATGCTCTAAGCTTCTCTACAAGGTCATGCGTCATTAGACTCGTTGATGAAGTGCCAGTCGCAGCGGCGTTACGATCGCGGGATATGCTCGTCTCCTTGTGGAGCTTAATGTAAAAAGTTTAACTCCCTTGCTGAACATAACGCAGTAATGGATGTTCCTCGAATCAGTGAAGTATTACATACTGTATACATTATCTTGTCTAGACTCTTCACTCTTCCTATAACCTTTATCACTTAGGAAAAAAATTGTCAAAAAATGTCTTTGTCCTAGTCAATTACATGAATGAAAATTTTCTTGAAGCTTCAATATCAGATTTTTCATCTCAGGGATTGATCACCACAAGAGATAGTGACTTTTTTACATCTCTTTTTCAACTCTAAACCACCTCAAATTTAATACACTGAAGCCTGTACATAAAGACTGTTGAAGGGAGAGACATGAAAATTTGTATTTTAAATGTATACATGTATGCAGGTTTCTTTGAATGAGAAACACTATACCAGCGAAACAAAATGTGGTCTTTCTTGCCATTTGATCTTCTAGTCATAAATTTTGATCGGCGATGGAAATTTATTGTCTGATTCATGTAAAATTAGGAGAGAAGAAATCGGCACCCGATTCAGTCATCGATTATACCATTGATTAAAGCATTGCACATCTGCCAGTGGAAATGCATGGGTCAATATTCAAACTTACGTCTGGGTATGCTTTAACAGGAACGTACAATTTCTCTGACATCTGCGTGAGGGAACCCTCAGCTTTGGGTAGCATTAGCGGTTGACTGGTGGATGTAATACTGTATAGAGATCTCCGTACTCGGTTGATTTCTGGTGAAGAAAGAAGAACAAAAGAATATGAAAATTAGAGTTTTTGTAATCTGCATAACTATCTTACAAAAATGGGCATAACAGCATTAGAAGCACTATTTTGTATAAGTGTTACATAAATGATAAATCCACATTTATCATTATATCTATTACAGTAAAAGTACCTCAACAAATATTTTTAAAAAGCAAAAGACATTGTACCGAGTAATTTGTTAAAGAAAGTTTGACTTATATGTAAGTCAAAAAAGTATAAAAGTAAGTATAAAAAAAAATGTTTTTTTGTTTTGTTCAAAAATTTTAACACAGGTCTTACATGTACATGTACATGTATGCCTTCACTTTAATATATTTTCATAAGATACAGAAACTTATGGCATCATTTTTTTTTAACTCTGCGGTTTACCGCTTCATAATACTGAACGAGGCATTAGAATCCAAACTTTCTTGGAAAGAGTCATATTCTCTAAACAGTAAACACAAAATGAATCCATTTTCCCACATCCTTTGTATTTTATAATAGATCCACTTTCCTTGATTCACATATCAACATACACTCAAGTCAATAATCACTTCACATTACATCGTGATTTGGGAATCTATCGCAGCAAGTCTGAAGAAAGCGCTAAAGGAGTTAGAGTCATACAAGCACTTAGGTCCCCTGTCAATTTGCTTAGATAAGAAATGCAAATATTGATTCAAAGCTGGTATTAAGCTGACTTTAAATGCACGAGCATTTGTGGCATAAGATTGGCAGAAGAAAAAAAATCCCCTCTTCTTTTTTATCTTTATATTCTTGGCTTCGGGAGTGTAAACATGACCTTTTGTAGGATAAATCTCTCAACATGCACACTTTAAAGGGAAAGTCCACCCCCAAAATAAGTTTGTTTCGATAGAGACAGAATAATAAGAAAATCAGGTGAGTGAAAGTTTGAGCAAATTCTGAATGAAAATAAGAAAGTTATGAATTATTGAAGTTGTGATCAATCAAATACAAATTGGCAACTCTGTGACTTATTATACGAGCTCTCCTTCATTTGCTTTGTGCATAATATTCCATAAAATCATGTTTTCTTCGTTATTGATGACGGAATATATATTTGTTCCTTGCAGGGGGAGTATAGAAACATATTTGCAATTATTATATTTAGGGTGTATGTATGGTTGAAATTTTTCTTGAGGGAAAATGAAAATTTTAGATTTTTTAGTACTGAGCAAATGGAAGTTGAGCTCGCATGATACGTCATAGAGTTGCCAATTTGGGTTTGATTGATCACAACTTCAAAAATCCTAACTTCCTTATTTTTAATCGGAATTTGCTCAAACTTTCACTGACTTGTTTCTCTCATTTTTCTACTCCTATTAAAACTAACTTAATTTCACGGTGGACTTCCCCTTTAAATGAACTAGTTGACAGGGAAAAGGGTAGTTGCCCTTCATTTTGTAGCTGTTTATGCATGTATGATGTCACCTGTTTAAAGTTATCATATCATACATTCAGTGTTTCACCTCTTATATGAGGATTATTCTGATGCAATTTGGCTTCTGTTACACAATATCCTTGACCTGATAAATCTTTGAAAAACACTTGAGGACTTGAGAAGAATGAAGGTAACAAACGTGTCAACAAATATTTTGTTCACATGAACTGTTTTGGGCTTTTTCATATTCTATATTTCAGCCAAACAATTTTTTATCTTTTTCCTAGGAGATTTCTAATCTTTCAGAAATGAAACTGCAATTGGCTCTAAAATATTTTAGTCACTGTTAACCAATCAATCATATTAAAGCAAAACATGAATTCCAACTACAGTAGTATACTAGCAAGCAAACAAAACATTAACAAAATCAGCTTTAATTTTAAAAGTCTATGAATTTTCACAGTTCAATTCATACATGGGTATGTGTAAAATATAACTCAAACTCAAAGAAAAAAGAGCCTAAATATGGAAAAATGCATTTTTTGCAATTCAAAAGTTTGCCAAAAAGGGAAAAACCTTCTACACTTGTAATTGCAGAATTGATAGCATTCCACTTGAACCACCAAGGTTTCAAAGCTTTTCAAGTGCAGTGCATATTAAAGTAGAGGCAATAGGAAATTGCTTTATTTTCTAGTTTCTACACAAAAATCAATGTGCATGTACTGTGCTGTATATCAAGTTCGCACAAACATATCGGGTGAACATGAACTTGTAAATGTACCTGTTTCGTGCATTTAATGACGTTTCCTAACGTTTGCCCTCTCGGGGGTAATCTTGCGCTGAAACACAGCAGGAATCAATCTCTTTGATCTCAACAGATCTAATGACATAATCCAAACTTCCCCTCAAATCATTTCTCTATCACGCTGAATGCAGGAAAGATGTGTTTACACTGCAACCAAAAACTATTTTTTTTTCTCACATTCCTTATTTTTATCGGATATTGCTAGGCTACTACCCATTAACATGAAAAAACAGATAAGACCCACCCCACCTCTGGAATGTGTTTTGGTTAATGATGGCAACAATTAGAAAGGCTTTTGCAGTGTAATTGTTCACTCTCAAAACAATGGTTTCGGTTGCAAGACTCCCCGCACTTCTGCGCTTAACGCATGCAGAGCAGGAACAAGTGGTGCATACACACAACCCAACAAACGACCAGAATTATCAAACACTTCTAATGAGTTTTTTTTCAGTAGTGCAAATGGTAATTTTTTTTTTTTTGGTAATCAAATTGATTTTTCTCCAGTGAAAATGGGTCTAGTGTCAAATACCATGTCAAATAATGAAGAAATTTCTATCGTAACGTGGCTTCAGGCATCGAGTCTCTCTCTGCTACAGTTCCAGTTTCATACAGCAATGTAGCTAGTGTAGAATGCAGTTCTGTGACACTTAAGTACATTGCATACAGTACATGCATAATTCCTGCACCCCCCCCCCCCCCCAACACACACACATAATTTATGCGGTTACACTTCTTACCCTTGACTCTTATTCAACTTATCTCAATCATCAACAACCATTGAAAAAGCATTGAACTACAAGTGCAATGGATTTTGCAGGGTAAATAATTGGATTCGCTCAAGCATTCATCGATTCATCATTCTTCAAGGAAGACACAAAAGAAAAATGTGGGTGTCGGACATATAATAGCATGAAATGTGAATTAGACCCGAAAGTTATGCTTCCTTGCTTTAATAATAAAGAGAAGGTTGGGTTCTGGGGAGAGGTGAACAATAATTTATGATCATTTTCTGTATTATGCAAGTGTGGAAGAATATTAGAGAAAAAATGCTAGGATGTGTTGCATCATGAAAAAAATATTTATATAAAGTGATTATCAAGAAAGGAGATTATTAAGTATTATACACCCCCCCCCCCCTTTACTTGTGTACATGTACATGTAGGACAAGACTTTAGAATTAAGTGAATACAAGTGTGAAATTTATTTGTGTATGTTCACACTGTGGTAGACAATGGCGTTGCCTTGCCCGAGTTCAATAATAACAAACTGAATGTTTGAATTGAGCCACGAATGACCATAACACCCTCGGCGTTTTAACTTATCGGTGGGTTATAAGATAAACACAGCAATGTGAAGCGCTGTATGCTCTGTCATTTTATTATGGCACTCAGTTTTGTGAGACGTTCATTGCATCATGTGTGAACTACACTGTAGGCATATAACTGATTGAAGGCAAGTGTGAAATTCATACGTGAGTTCACACTATGGTACACAATGGCATTGCCTGGGCTGTGTTCAATAATAACATGAACGTTTGAACTGGGCTGGATGTAACCTTGAGGCAATCTTTCCAATAATAACAAGGCAATCTACGGTAATCAATTAACTTTTGCTGTCCTCTGATTATTTCTTTGCTATTTAACATGTTTTATTCATACTGTTGAGCACAAATAATTTATTTGAATGCTCTCAACCTATTTTTTCCTTAAAATTGCTGAATATTGCAATGAACACGAGGAGAACATATTGTATTATCCCTTAGAAAACGTTGAGATAATATGTCACTGTACAGTTCGCACTTTCAATAGGTGATGGACAATGCTCTTGAAATTGCTCTCCGCTGGTTTTTCAAAAGTCTTAGCAATTGTGTCAATGGTATTGTTGCCTTTTATTCAAGAACATCAGACTACCTTTAATAGTAGTTTAGACTACAGGAAACAATATACAGAACTTGGATAAAGAAATGTATAATGAAACGTATACAGAAACATTGTATAAAGAAAAGTTGTGTAAAGAAACGTTGAATAAAGAAACATACAAGAAACGTTGTATAAAGAAGCGCTGTATAAAGAAACGTTTTATAGGGAATGAAGGGACAGCTACTGGCTACTACATGTAGTATCTAAAGGATAATTTCTGTAAGTCTGAACACAGAGCTAGTCTGTTAGAGCAGTGGTGATGTTACTGATGGATGGGCTGAGTGCATACCGGATCGCATCAACGGCATTCCTCTAAGGGTTAACTCCACGAGGAAGTAAGCCCTGAATCAGACGACCATCAGATTTCATCGCGTGTGATGAAGGGAAGCCAAAATGACCCCGACTGACTTACATAATATTGTTTCCTCTAGAGCTTCTTTCGAATTGGATTTATATCTTACACACAGGGCTATAAACTAACCCCCCCCCCCCCACCCCCCCCCCCCCTCCCCCCATCCCCTGTCCTTCTCTAAATTTTAGTGTTTGGGGAGGGTCCAGAATTATTATGTTCAGCCTACATGTGTTTACTGAACCAATTACCCCCCCCCCCCCCTCCCCCAAGTCACACAGACAGAAACATCTCAAGACTTGCACTCTGCAAGAGACCAAATGGCAAAGAAGTGGCTGGTATGGAATCAAGTTTGCCTCTGAGTTGGTTACTTACGCGGGACGATGGAGGTACTGCAAATATGAAGACGTTTTCAACACTCAGTAATGCTCTCACTTTTCATATTCCATCTACAGTACATCGACATGTAGAAATGGGGACGGTGCGTCACTGTAGAAGCCTCCTGAAGC